CTGCATAACCAAAAAACGGACAACTGAATAAAGGAAAAAAACTACAAATATAGGCACACTTACAGCTAGAAAGTATCTGCAACCACCAATTGTACTCCGATGCTTCTTTCTATAGTTTGTAATGGAAGAAAACATCCAATCATAGATGAACTTTGACCAATTCCATTCTTTCACCTTAGATACATCAATCAATGAACCTAGATACTGCGGGCTCGGATAAGTACTAGAATTAGCACAAAGAAATGTAGACAAGGCTACAACCATGAAGTATCGAAGCACGTCATCATCAGATAACGTGCCTCCTACCAACTTGTCCCCAAATGTCTTGATCGTGGGCAAAGAGGGCTCTTTGATTGCTGAAAGGAAATTGCTCTTCGTAGACTCAGTATAATTCTCCTTAATATCTTCACCATCATTTGGAAGCCCTAAAAAGAGATGGACTGACAATGGATCCAATGGAATCACTTTCCCTCCAACTACTATGTCACTACAACTCACATCTACTTGATCTGCTATCCATTGCACAAATCCTCTGGGTGCTGAGCAACCATCGTACTCCAGTAAAATTCCAAAGCCATGATGCCTGATAATTTTCTTTTTGCGCTCATCCAACTTTGCTATTATCTTTTCTCCAAAGTACTTGCTATTAAACCTACTTCCTGGTCTCTCTGATGTACCTGCAGCGCCACTCAATTTCCCTTTACCTCTACCTCTAACTGTTCTGATACTCTGTAAAACAATGCAACAAAAAAGAAAATCTGGTTAGGATACTAGAATCACTAAACATGGTGACAAATTTAGCAAAAAACTTCATTAGTTGGCTATGTTTTTTGAACAAAACCTATTCCCTGAAATATCATGCTCATCATGCATCCGCTCAATCGTAATGCTACTGAATTTACCTTTCTAGTCTGGACACCTGAACCCCTTGCTTTCCCTTTCTTCTCAACAAACTTAGCAAACTGAGAATACATAATAGAAACAAAAATATCAGGTACAGTTCAAATGCAAATAGCACTATACAAGAACAAAAGTGCATGATGACATCAAGCATTCAAGAACAGAAAAGAAAAATAGGCAAGGACCAATGCCACCAGTATCACTCAATCATCTACAGTATAATAATCATGCAGTATATACAGGAACAATAAAACTAGCATGGACCCTAAACTACTACTACTACTACAGGAGTAATACAAAACTAAAACAACCACAACACAATATATCAGATATTAACAGACAAAGGTTTCACAACATACTCCACAAACGGCTTTTTGAACATGCTTCAAAGTTTTCAGCATTTCACTAGTATCAATATTATCATCTTCAGGATTTGGATCCTAAAAAAGGCAACAAGATATATCATATATCAAATTATTATAATACACAAGTGCACACACAAAAACAAATTCAAAATGAACTTAGTACCTCGCCATCATTGAAAGGATCAGAGGTTTCCTCTTCTGAGTTGTTAGGAAGATCATCCTCACTCTCACCATTTGTAGACTCACCATCAGAAAGAAACTCATCATCATCCATGGCTACATAACAAAAAAATGGTTAATGATCTCATTGCTAGCTGCAGTAAAAAACCAATCGAATTGAAATTTAGCAAAGCTCTCTACAGATGAGGGGTCAGGGCCTAGCATGTCAAGTGCATAAGAAGCTAAAATTACTAGTACAAGGACTTCTATATAAAGAAGGAAATTACTAGAACAGGAGCATGATTTTGACCAGAACACCTAGATGCTTGACATGCTGCTTGTGGACAGTATTGCTCACCCTATACAATTTTCATATATTGTGCAAAGGAAATTCAGTCCTGAAATGCGGAATGCATAGCACTCTCATGGTTTGTTATTAATATGCAGATAGTACAATAGTATAGTACAACACATAATTCAGTTATCAAAATTACATAACAAAGGCACACAAAATCAGGTGCCACATGTGTATCACCTATGTCAAGAGGGTCCACAACGACTGACTGAAATACCAGGACCCATAAAACTCCAAAACATGCAGTAAGTTGTGGGAGCTTAAACAAATTTCTAAAATAAACCATGCATGTGAGCTCATGCAGACACAAACACAAATCAATTCAGTCCTATTTAACGTATCTGACAGAACCAAATAAACAAAAACTACTAAATGGCAGTCCTATTTAATCATGTGAATCAGCGAGCACATCTGCACATGCATGGAGGATCGAAATCATATCATAGCATTAGCAATAGCATATATAGCATACATTGTATCTGAATCTGAAATCATATCATAGCATTATCAATAGCAATGGCATATATTCAACAGAGAACCGTACTCTGATGGAAGCTCAGTACCATACAAAAAAAATTAAAACTAATCAAGTTATCAAACAACTCACTATAAATCAGAACTAGTATCTGAATCTGAAATGAACAAAAAAGAATGGAACACACAGTTAAAAGACTGGATATTACACATGTTAAACACCATAATTGCAGTAATTTAAGTGTGCAATTTACTACTTATATGACGATAATCTATATTGCAGAGCATTTTGTTAAGGATAAAACCAATAATAGATCAGTAAGCAGCACATTCAGGTAGAGAATAGCCCTTTTCGATTTTTCAATATGTTGTGGTATAGTCCTCTCTTCAACTATAGATCAAATAAACCATTGAACAACCATACCAAGCAAAAAAAAAGCAAGCACCATTGCTGACCATAAAAACCATTGCACACAAAGAACAATAACAAATCGCCCTAATGCTCAAATTTTGCTACACCATGGCGACAAAGACGGGTCAGTAGCTAGCTCGCTCAACCCAACATAACAAACATAAACACCACCAATCTCTAACCCTATGACCTCCTGACGCTAGAAGATTTTACCAACCAAGCAAATCGACACCACATCATGTACCAGCATATGCAAATCGACACCATATTGCAATGCTCCTCCGGATCTGTTGGATCCCCTATACTTCACCTGGATCCAATCTTCTACCAGCAATGCAAGCCTCAAATCCTAGCTCCCCCTCGATCGGTACCAAGCAAATCGAACCAGACCCAAAGATGGAGGCAAGCTGCAGATGCCCTGGCGCCTATCCTACTATCCCTCGAGTAGGGGGACTTCTAAAAACCCACAACAAAATCAAACAAGCGCAAAATCAAGGGGCTAAATAAGCGCAAATCACCCCTCATCCACCTCGCCTGACATCATCCCCACCCCACCTTGCTTCCGCCCGGTCGCTCGTCGGCTGCCGCTGAAGCGGCGACACAAGCAGACTCATCCTCGGCGAGACAACGCCCGTCTGTGTGGCGTAAAGCAAGCAACTCATCCTCCATGAAATCGAACCACAAATACATCAAAGATGCAATCAAATCGTAGATCTACTGAACCATAAACACAGATGACCCAAAAAAACAGAGCTCGAATCAGGGAAAGAGAGCGCAGCGTAAGAAGGTACCTGCTGACATCAAGCTATGGCGGAGCAGCGAGCCTCCGAATCGTCGAGGAGGGGACGCCGACGAGCCTCGACGGGGAAACCACGGAGAGGGGCAGAACAATCGCCACCGCGACGAGCTCCAGAAAGCACGATACCTTTTTATGCGCGGGGATCGAGGAATACGAACAGTCTCCGAATTGGGTTCTCGGTCTGTTGGGTAGTAGCGGATGCGGCCTCCAGTGCCCGGACCCGATAAGAAAGATCGTACCCAAAGCGCACAGATCGCAAACTCCATCCAACGAAGGAGGCATCGCCTGAAACAGAGACAGATTTCAGGCGACTGTACAATAGGAAATGTGTTATAATATATGTGTTGTTGTCAAAAAAATGTTGAGCAGATGACGAGATCAACTCAACACCATTATAGTATACTAGTATCAGTTGGTGTTTAGTGGGGCTCAAATTATTTGTCCACAATTCCTATTCATCAGTAGCATGGTTTTTGTGTTGAGTTCAGGCGACGTTGTGTCCATCGTGTCCATCGGTGGCTGGTATCTGTGTTGTGTTTGGATGTGAACCAGCCAAAGAACTTACTCCGAAAAGTCCTGACAAATGATGACGAGATTCGGTCTGTTAACTGTTGCCTGAAAAGAAGCAATATTTCAGGCGGCAGGTCTCTTATTTGTCATTTGCAAAATAGGCTCAAATTTTTAGTACAGCTGTAGTGTATTGGAATCAACTCAACAGCATTATACTATTTGTCACTGGCATCGCAGCATTTTCTTTCAGAACAAGCACATGGTCGAACATTTTTTTTCAGATTTGCTACCGGTTGTTTTGGGAGCTACCAACAACTGGTTTTTGGGCCTTCCGATCGGGATCGGTTGGTTCAGGCGGGCAGGACGCGGGCGCATGCAGCTTCTCCTGTCCACTGCCTTTTGTCAGCCAGGGCGCGGGCCCTACCTCTCTCTCATGCGGTCAGAGGGAGCAGCGTCCAGCGCAGGCACACGGCTACAGCAGCACATGCAGGCGGTCCCCGCTGGCCGTAGGCCACACGAGCGCATGCAGCAACTGATGGATCCCACTGCAATTTGGGGACAATCTGTTATTTGCTTTTAAATTTATGAACAATTTGTGAATAATTTGACATATATTCTCTAATATCTGTAATTCATAGAAATAATTTGTAAACTTTTCTGAAAGTTTTGGTATGAGATCTACAATCCATAGAAATAAAAGTTGTGTTATATCCAAATTACATCACTCTGTCCAATAAATTACACCGAAGAAATCATTATAAATGTAGTAATAAGGTGATGTAAATATAGCTATAAGACAGTGTAGGTGCATGAAAAAAATCTAGTTATTGAGAGGGTCTAAAACGACCGGCCGTTGGCTTGACAGATTCTTTTTTTTTTCTCGAACAACTGAACAAGCACATGGTGGGACAATTTTTTTTGTCCAACAAGAACATCCTGGTGGCCCGTATTTCATTAAAAGGTACTGGCATCGCATCATTATAGTACAAGTTGAAGTTGAACACACATGATACACAAAAACAGAGGATGGCAGCGGCGGCCGGCGGCGAGAGGTGGAGCCTGGCCGGCGCCACAGCGCTGGTCACTGGAGGTAGCAAGGGGATCGGACACGCCATCGTGGAGGAGCTGGCCGGGTTCGGCGCACGGGTGCACACGTGCGCCCGCAGCGCGGCGGACCTGGAGGAGTGCCGCCGGCGGTGGGCCGAGAAGGGGCTCCGCGTCACCGTCTCGGTCTGCGACGTCGCCGTGCGCACCGGCCGGGAGAAGCTCATGGACACGGTCAAGGCGACCTTCGACGGCAAGCTCGATATCCTGGTAAGCTGAAGGTGAAGCGAAAGCATTCATCAATAGCTGTCAGCTTGACGGCGTAGTCCATCTGTGCACGTACGTACAGGTGAACAACGCGGCGCTGCTGATGCTCAAGCCGCCGGCGGAGTACACGGCGGAGGACTACTCACGGATCATGGCGACCAACCTGGAGTCGTGTTTCCACCTCAGCCAGCTCGGGCACCCGCTCCTCCGGAACGCCTCCGTCGCCGGCGGGGGAAGTGTCGTCCACATCTCCTCCATCGCGAGCTTCGTGGCCTTCCAACAGGAAGTGCTCTACAGCGTCACCGAAGGTAAATAGTTTTCTTTCTAAAAAATGTTATATATGTGACAAATCATTTCAGAAAAGAAATCGAAGGACCAAATAGAATAGGGTACTAGAGGCCGGACCACCTAGAGGCCGGATGAATGGATACCACCATGGCGTTGTTTCCCCCTTACAAGAGGTCGGAAGGAGCCCCCTCGCGTCGTCTCTCTCGGCGACTCGAGGGGCGACGCCTCCCCCGCCGGCACAGCGCCTCTCCCGGCCAGCTCAGCCGCTGCCGCTGCGACTCCCCGGCAACAATGGCCGTAGCGGCGGCGGACAGCAGGCGGCGCCCAACAAAGCAGCCACCCGCGTGCTTCTTCTCCTTCCTCCACCACATCTCTTCTTTCCAACTACAAATTTTTATCGACCTGTTCTTTCTCCGGCCAGATCCCTGCTTCTATGGGCCAGATCCGTGCTTTTGGGGACTGGATCTATGGTGTGCGGCCCGGCAACGCGACTCCCAGCCGGCTGTGGCTCCACGATGGTGGCGGTGCGTGCGCGCGTCGTACAACGTCCTGGTCCGCAGCTCCGCGCGCAAGCTGCGGCTGCTGGCCAGGGAGGGGCTCGGGTGCAGGTACACCTTGGCCACTGGGTGTCCCAAGGCGCGCCGTCCGCCGGTTCCTCGCCGTGGGGCTCCTGCTCGTCGTCGCAGCGTCTGCTGCGTCACGGGCCTGCTCCTGCACGGATTTTGAGTTAGTTTGATATAAACTTGATCATATAAACTTGATCAAACTTGAGTTAGTTTGACCAACACGGATTTTGTAATTGCATTGTTTTGTGGAGAGTGTGATTACTTTAGAATTGTAAGAAGTACATACTAACATATGTGTACATACAGCTACCGGTAGCGGTGGTGCAGCAAGAGTTGTCACGCGTCCCGATGCGGCGGCTTGGTGAGCCGGCGGAGGTGGCGTCCCTGGTGTCGTTCCTCTGCTTGCCGCCGGCGTCCTACCTCACCGGGCAGGTCATCTGCATCGATGGAGGCCGCACCATTAGCGCCTGATGGATGGACGACAGCCAGCTACTGAAGAATAATATGAAAAATGTGGTCCGGAACTGATACAGACGGGTTTGTTTTGCTCGGCCGTCACCGTCAGGCGCCAATAATTCACCGTGGACAGTTTATCTGCTGGGAACTTGGAACTCGGCCCCGTCACCGTCTGGTCAATAATTACTCGCTGTGCCGTTTGTTTTGGGTTGGGCTGAAAAACATGATCGTGTCAGGTTGACGGTTGTACTGTAATTTTTTTAGGCATTCGTTCAGCAGCTCCAAATTAAAGATCTTTCACCTAAACGCATGCATCAATATCTTCATGAGACAGCAAGCCAGAAAAGACGAAAAACAATGATCCGGATCTTGAAGCGACGTAAATATAAAGGGAGTTGCTATATTTCAGTCGCCTGAAATATATCAACCATCTCAGGCGACGTCCAGGGCCCTTGGATCTTCATCCAAGGGTCAGATCTGTTCTCTGTTGTTTCTCTGTAGCAGGCAACAAAACGGGTCCGCAAATGAACCACCAAAGCAGCTACCGGGCCCGCCAAACCTTAACGGGTGCAAGATCCGATACCCGCTATATCAAATAACTACTCATTCGGCCCACAAAACAGCTATTCGGCCCAATTGAACAGTTCACAAATTACAGCTCTGCCACTACACCCTCCAGCAAGAAAGAAAAACCCCGATCAATCTGGATCTAGAAGAGGAATTACAGTGGAGAGGAGCGAAAATTAGAGAATAAATTAACAGGTAAAACACAAGAAGATGAACAAGGGCAAAGGATATGATCTGCCTAGGAAAAAGGTACTAACCAAGCAAGATTATTCTATTTCTTGCCTTCATCTCCTTTTTCTCATTGCATCGTCTCACTTTGAAACACTGAACCGTAACCATCTTGCTTCATCTTCTTTTTGTTTTTGTTGCTATAGGTCTATAGTTATCCAAAGTAAAGTACACTTGTCAACCCGATTTAGATTTTACAAATCTAGTGGGATCCATGCCTACATGGTGGTTGATGACTAAAAGAACAATGTGTTATGAACCTAGGCAACTTGTATAGAATTTAGGGGCAACTTGTATAGAATTCAGAGACAACTAGTATAAGATTTTGAGCAACTTGTATAGGATTTTGGGGAAACTTGTAAAGAACTCAGAGGCAACTTGATCACAAATTGATCGACTTGTGGAATTCCTTGCACATGACAGAATTGCAATAGAGGAGACACCCTTCTTTTTGCTTGTTTGTTTTGGTTGTAAGTTTAGATGACCACCACAAATGTCACCGCCTAATCGGGTCGATTGCAATGCAAAAGATCTTCTTACACCTAAAATAACAGTTTGTTGCATGTTTATGCAGAGTTCACAACGAACAATCGCATCAAATAGGAGATGAAGACTTCTTAAGGAAATGGGTATTGGATGTGATGACACTTGGATCTGGAACTTACACAATTATCGGAGATAATGACCAACATACATTGTGAACATGTTTGAAAATTTTATTTATCTTATTATATGCAGAGTGCTTTGGCAGTGTTGCTTTCACTAATCGGTTTATCTTAATATATGCAGAGTGCTTTAGCAAGAGATTTAGAAGCCAATATTCAAAGTTACTACAATTTTGATTCAAACATTGTAAACCCCAATTATACTAATCAGGTAAATAAAAATTGCAGTTATTACATATTAAGCTACATTTTCAATGCTACAAACTTGTAATTTAGACTATTCCTAATTGCAACTACTGATATTTGAGTTTCTTTTTGTTTGTTTGTAATGAACAGGATAGTTCATCAAGACTCTTTGGAATACAATGAGTTATGGACAGGATAGTCTTCTTCATATGTGGTGGTGCGTCCGAAAGAGAAGTGGAATTCAATCCTGAGAGCTACATGTTTCATACAAACATTGAAAATGCCAACAATACTCATGAGGTAAAAAGGAATTCAACTTATAACACATATTGTCAGTGTGACATATATAAGTTCATCAAACCCTGTGCAAAAAATATAATAATAATAATGCAGCAGGCACTACAAGTTTGACTTACTTTGTCTTGCTTCAATGTGTTATTCCACTACTTTATCTTCCTCTCTATCTCCTTGGCATTTGACTGACCTCATGCTGTAACAGTAGAGCTCAATACCACCAGTGAACTACAGCAGCTATGGACAAGAACAAGAAATGCAGAGACAAGAAGTGAGATTCCTAAAACTCGCATTTCACAATTTTTTTGAAAAAATGGGTACTAACAAAAGAACTAAGATTTTATTGTAATGGTGAACCCCAAAATTTGCAGGAGATCATGTCACCAGGAGGAACAAGTTATGTACTATCACAGGGTGGATCAAGCTATACAAGCCTTATGAACCAAGTCATAGCTCAGGCTAAATCTTCAAATCAGAATTATGAAGAATTTTTGTCATCTGAAATGACAGGAAGTTTCATGGACATACTCAATGAGCCATTTCCACTAGAGGTATTTACTTGTTCTCTACATATCTGACTAAATTACTTTGTTTGCTACAATACAAGATGAAATATCTAACAGTACACCTTTTTCCTTACCGGTGAAAACAGAACCGGATGTTCATCACTACCAACAGAATCTATGAGCCACCACAAGATGATGGAGACGACTGCGAAATGAAGAATCAGAAGCAGTACCAGAGTTTGCAAATGAAGAAAACATGGTACATGAGGAAAGACAAGATGGACAAGGCAGTGAAGGGGAGCAAGATACAGAGGGCAACATGACAAAACAACATCTAGTAGCAAGTGAAGAACAAGATGAAGAAGAGCTCAGGCAATTCAGATTGAAAGCCAAAGTATTATAAAATTGAGTGTTTGTCTCACGAACATGCTAGCAGGCATGTTCCACAAGCTAGGCATGAAATTCAAAACAATGAGAAGATGCGCATGATTTCTACAATGACTACGCATTTATAGTCGGGTTTTCATTGGTCAAATGGCACACATACAAGTGCCAAGACAAGAAAGATCACAACTATGGCAGGTAACAAGGGTCACATACAAGTGTAACTTATCCGAAAGAGAAAGGAGGATGATAGCACTGATGTTTCAGGAGTACGAAGCACAAGAAACAACAAAAGGAAGATTTCTGTTTCTGGAGTCCAAAGCGCAAGAAATAACAAAAAGAAGATTTCTACTACACCGCCAACACCTAATCTGTGCCAAACAAAAGGAAAACAAGTACGCTTGTACCAACCGAAAGTGCCCCATTGAACTTGTTGTCACACTACGAGAATGGAGAATGGACAATAACCAGTTGAATCTTGAGCATAATCATGCGTTTGCAAGCAAGGATCAGAAAAATAAACTATTTTCACAGATTAGGATGACTGAAATGGAGAAGGAACTTATTGCAACATTCAACAAAGTGAACCTACCAGATAGGAAGAATATGGAAGTGCTATCTTATATAAGAGGCGATGTCACTCCATACAACAAGAAACATATCAGCAACGAGAAGACAAAGATAAATAAGGCAACATCGGATAATGACATGCAGCAAGTGTATGACTGGTTCTCTAAGAAACAGGCTGAGGACCCAATGTTCTTCTACAAGTTTTCCATAGATGAAAACAACAAAGTGAAAAACATTTTCTGGTCCAATGGTACAAGCAGAAGGTACTATGAGGAATTTGGAGATTGCATCAG